GGCGACAAATCGCGGTTCATTGACCGCCGGGACAGTAGTAATAATAAATAATAATATTATCTTAAAATTAGAAAAATATATATATCGTCCGTCGAAGAACCACCTCGAACTCAGGGGCGGATAGGCCCACCGGGATACCGGGACTTTCCCGGTGCGCCCTCGTATTATGGGCGCCCCCTTCTAATATGCAGTGGAGTAAATTTTTTCAAGATTGAATCCATAGGGCTTTTAATATTTAGGACCTTATATTTATTTTAACTTAGCGTCTTAGTACTATGTAAAAAAATGATATTAATTTAGTTTGATGGTTTACCCCGTAGATAAATTGTTATTAGAAACATTATTATTATTGTTATTATAATGTTTATTCATCGTTGCAACGAGTACAAGAGTTTATAGAACAAAAATAATATTATACACTCGCGACGGTCGATGATAACGTCACAATTATCATGAAATCGTATTATACGGGCCGAACCATGTATATTAGATTATTAGATATCTATTTTTAAACATTTGCTTTTTGGCTTATCGGAATAAATGTGAAACAAATAATATAATGAAACAACCAAAATATGATCAGTTCTCGTTTATATTTTGTAATCGTATGATCAGATCAGATACTGGCAAAGGCTGTATAATATTAATGGTAAGAATAATGGAATTATACTAATTTGTAAAAATTATCATGTATTAAACGTATTCAAATTTGATGTAGAAAAATATGAATAAAACAAAAAAACCAAAATTGTCCGGTTTTGCATACCGTTTAGCAAAACAAAAAAAGAAACTGCAAGAAGATGGAAACAAATGTTTGAAATTAACAGACATGTTTATTAAGTGCAGTAAGTTAATACTAAACATTTATTTTGTACTAAACGTGTTTTAATTTTACATGATAGGATATTATGCTATTTATTATTAGGTAGTTTTTTTTACAAAACTAAATTTTGTCTATGTATTGACAAGTATTGTCGTTTGTATTCTTTTATTTTATATAGTTATTGTGTGCGTTTTTTTATATTTAATGATTTAATAATACTTTATTAATATAAAATATTTTAAAAGTATTAATCACAAAACAATAATTGATTTGATTTTGATTTTCAAATAATAATTTATATAATTCTTTATTCTTGTAGGTCAAACAAGTTTAGGTGCACAAGATCATTCAGCAGTGGAATTTGAAGTTATTAACTCTACTTTTCATAATGAAGTACAGAATGACACACAGAGAGAAGGTATTAATACATATAGTTTCTAGCAAATTTTACCATATATTCATAATAAATGTAATTTATCTTGTTTATATTTATTTTAAATATTATTATAGGAATCCAATGTTTTTTTTAAATAAAAATATCTAATAGGTTTTTATTTTATTCTTTTATTTTATATAGTTATTTTGTGCGTTTTTTTTATATCTAATGATTTAATAATACTTTATTAATATAAAATATTTTAAAAGTATTAATCACAAAACAATAATTGATTTGATTTTGATTTTCAAATAATAATTTATATAATTCTTTATTCTTGTAGGTCAAACAAGTTTAGGTGCACAAGAGCATTCAGCAGTGGAATTTGAAGTTATTAACTCTACTTTTCATAATGAAGTACAGAATGACACACAGAGAGAAGGTATTAATACATAGTTTCTAGCAAATTTTACCATATATTCATACTAAATGTAATTTTGGCTTGTTTATATTTAAATATTGTTATAGAAATCCAATTTTTTTTTAAATAAAAATATCTAATAGGTTTTTAATCTATGTTTTTTAAAGAAAATTCTGTAGATGTTTTGAATGATGTTCATGCTGAAAATGGTGCAAAGAAAAGTATGGAGGTGGAAAAAAGGAATGAACCTGATCCACACCATAATTATTTTATTCGGCCTAATGAAAATGTTCTTGCTGCATATTTACAATATCATCCGCATCAACCGCAAACAAATATACCATTTTCTGCAGCCAAAGCGTATACTAGAAAAGATGGAGGAAATCGTATGTGGGTAACTTTCAGATCAGAAAACCCTGCTATATTTTGTAGTCTATGTGTTTTGTATGGTAAGTATACTGATAATAATACATTTATACATGGTATAACGGATTGGAAGCATTTATACAACCGTATTGAAGAACATGAATGTTCAAAATGTCATAGAAACAGCGTAGATGCTCACATACTTAGAAAAAAACATGGTTCTGTTGACCATCTTCTTACATATGGCCAAAGGGATTTGAGAAAAAGTCAAATTATTAATCATCGACAAATATTGAACCGGATAATAGACGTTGTGAAATTAATTGGAAAGAGGGGTTTGAGTTATCGAGGTAAATCAAATGAAGCTGCATATACATTAAAAGATGACAACTTGGACCATGGTAATTTTTTGGAAATAATTACATTATTAGGAAAATATGACTCTACATTAAAAAGTCATCTTGATACAGTTATTAATAACAGTCAGAAAAGCCATGATCGTGGGTCGAAGCAAGGGGGAGGAAATATTACTTTTTTGTCGAAAACTACTGTTAACTATGTTATAGATGCAATCAACCAGTTAATCAAATCTAAAATATCTTCAGAAGTCAACAAAGCTGGTATGTATTCTGTTCAATTAGATACTACACAAGACATTACAACAGTGGATCAATGCTCTGTGATTTTGCGGTACATGAAGAATGCATCAGTACAGGAACGATTGGTAGGTGTAGTTAAGTGCACTGGTACCAAAGGAGTTGACTTTGTTGATATGTTAATGAAGCTTTTAAAAGATTTAAATATAGATCCAAATAAGTGTGTTGGTAATTCTACCGATGGTGCTTCTAACATGCAAGGAAAATATAATGGGTTCAACAAAAAATTAAGTGAAGCTACTAAAGAACAGGTGCATATTTGGTGTTATGCACATGTTTTAAATTTAGTGATGTGTGATACAACTAATATTTCTACATCATCAATGTCATTATTTGAACTTATCCATGAATGTGCAGTGTTTTTCAGAGACTCGCATAAAAGAATGGACAAGTGGACTGAAAAAGTTTCTCAAAAAAAATTAAACTTAATAGGAGAGACTAGATGGTGGTCCAAAGATAAAGCCTTGTGTAAAATATTTGGACGTTTTAATAATCCTGATGGTTCATTATACATAGATTTAATAATTATTTTTGAAGAAGTTATTGCAAATGTTCAGTTAAGACCAGAAGCAAGGTTTAAGGCTAAATACTTACTCGAAGGACTTTGCAAGTATGAAACTATAATTACCGCCCAAATATTTTTACGAATTTTTGAAAAGACTACTCCCTTATCACTATACTTGCAAACCAAAGGAATTGATTTTCTTAAAGCATATGCAATGGTACAAGAAACGTTTAATTGTTTGAAAACCTTTTCCAGAGATTTTAAAGAAATTCAAAAGGCATCACAAAATTTTGTGAATTGGGGTAATCAAAAATTATCTCTTAATTATGACACAAATTTATCTATTAGTGAAAATTTACCATCCATACGGATTAAAAAAAAAAAAAGATTATTTTCCTATGAAGCAGAAGACCATCATGTGACTGACCCATTATTGTCTTATGAAATAAATTCGTTCAATATAATAATGGATACAATTACCAACAGTTTTGAAAAAAGGTATGCAGAACACGGAACATTATGTGCAGACTTCTCATGTCTTGACCCTAAAAATTTCCAAGACCATTCAGAAAATGTACAGCCAACCGTTTTAAAACAGGTATTTGAATTAATTTCACCGTTTTTGTCTACATTAACATTAAATGATCTTCAAGTTGAGTTAAAAGATTTTCGTTCTAAATGGAAAAATTTAAACAAAAGTATTCAAACACATTATTCTGAGTTAACAAATGAAATAAAAGACAATTCTGATAGCAGTGATGAATATCAATATGAAAAATGTGAATTAAGTAGTAACAATCATGATGAAAGCAGTTGTATTAATTGTTGCTACAAGTTAATAGTGCATTATAATTTGTTTAGTGGAGCGTATCCTGGATTATTTTTATGTTATAAATTAATTTTAACTCTATCAGTTACGCAAGTATCTTGCGAACGTTCATTCTCAAAATTAAAAATATTAAAAAATGCTTTAAGGAATTCATTAACACAAGAGCATTTAGAATGTTTCATGCTTATGGCCTTAGAAAAAGATATTTTATCAAATCTTGATAATGAGGATATTATTAATATTATTGCAACAAAAAGTATTTTGCTTCAAAAAATGTTACTTTTTTAATTTTTAAAAATGATATTACATTTTAATTTTAATAATTTTCCTTCTTTGTAAATAAATTAAAATCCATGTTTTATAATATTAATATATTATGTAAAGTATGTAATTATTTTTTTAAATACAGTTAATAATATTATGTTACTTATTAATGTCAAGCTTAGTGTGACACCATTTTTTAAAAATGTAATTTTTCAAGTTGTATTCTATATGAAATACATATAACATGTACAATCAAAATACATTTTTCAAAAACTTAGTTATTGCATTATTAATTTGAATTATTTTATATTATTCATCTTTCATCTATAGACTATAACTAATATCTATGTAATTGTGTTTTTACTGTTTTTAGGTTTCATTAGAAAAAGAGTTTTGGTGTCCCTGACTGTATACCATTTGTAGAATAATTTATGCCGCCCCATTAATATATTTTCCCGGTAAATTTTTTTTTGCCTATCCGCCTCTGCGGCTCGAACAATAATAATGGGAAAAAAATTTATAAAAAAGATAAACAATAAAATACCTGTAAACACCACAGGTATTTATACAATATCTCTCAATATTAAAGTATAAACAAGAAACGAGCACTTCCCGATCGTCGGACGGGCCCACTCGTCACCCAAACACCCGCCCGATCGGACCCATCCGCCCGCCCGCCCACCGACCGTGCGCCCGCCGAGTCGTATCAATATATCCCCGTCGCCGGTAACACTGACGACTGCCGAGCATGAGCTAGCCAATGCCACTATCTCCTCGACGGTCTCCGACTTGCGAGTGTGCATGGGCACATTCCCATTCCCGACGCTACCATCGTCCACCTGGATTCTTGGACGGAGTGGAAGACGACGACGGTACGCAACACCATCGCCGGACGACGCTGTACACGATAACCCCGGCGGTGCCGTCGCAGAGGTGCTCTGCACTCGTTCCGGCAACGACAGACTACGCACCGAATAGGTTCGTTGAGGGGTTTTTATTTATTTTATTGTTATTATTGGCGTACGTGCTAGATCGGCACTGTGCAATGGCGGGTGGATGGGGTAGTTGCGGTGGTGGATGGCGCCTGGCGCTATGTTAAGCTGTTCCGTCGCAGTAGTTGGAGGTGTCTGGTGCGCTATTGTGCCAAACCCTCTCATCATCGCGACCTCGCAAGACTTTTGTAGTTACTCCGAGCTGTTTGATAATCGAAAGATCGTCCCGAGATCTGTGCGTTCCACGTCTCCGGCGACCGTCTTCGGTAGCCTTCGTCTTGATGGTTGCTCATTCCACCGTCACCACCGTCCGGCGTCCACAGTTCCACGGCTTCTTCCATGTTGTTTTCGCGCCGTCGCACAAGTTCCTTGTCCTCTTTCTATCGCGATCTGCGTTTACATTTTATCTTTCGATTTAACTACGATTTCTTTTGCCAGTTCGACAATCGTGCGTTGTAGTTTCACTTGGAAAATTCGTTTGTTTTCGATTTAGTTAAATTTTTTTTTTTGGACTCAATCTATTTTCACAAAACATTTTTTTTTCCATAATTTTATGCCTTCTCACATTTGAGTGTTACGATAATGATAACGAATAAATTAAACCGTCTGCCAATTACTAATTTAAAGTTTTTCCCATGAAGTAATTGACTGTGTTATTTCAAAAGTACCTATAAACTTCCTACAAAGTACAAGTGTGAATGGTTGTATGAAAACAAAAACATTTGTCCGAGCTTTGAAATCACTAATATTGCTAATATCAACTGGTAACAAAAAAAAATTGTTCATTTATAATAATTTTCTTTCAAGTTTAAAATAGAGATATTTTCATTGAAATGTCTATTGGACGACACGTATATGAGTCTTTTATAGTAATTTTTTGTAAGCCACACTTCTAGTTGATTAGCAGACCTATAATATATTTTGCTAGCCTGTGAATCACTAGAAACAGATTATACAATTATCACTTTTTCTATAAAAAAAAAATAATAAACTTAACGTTCAGTGAATTATGTAGCACATGTCATATTGTAGATAAGGAAGATGAAGTTTTTTCTAAAAAATATTTTTATTTTAATTTTCATCAATTTAATGCAGATTTTCAGTTTAAACTCTCACTTAAGTAACATAGTATAAATATTAAATTAAAAAATTAAAAATGTTATGCCTAAAACATGATTTACTGAAGGTTACCAAGTAAACACATAATCACTAAAATATATTATGACCCATTTGTATTAGTACTTTGTATATTTATATAGTTTGTATTGTATGCTGTTTGCATCTAATTAAGCATACATTTCTTTAAAATGTAATAGAAAAACTTGTGAAAGTAATGCTTTAGCCAGTGGCGCCCAAGATATATTTTTCAGGTGTAGCAAGAAAACATTTTACACACCCACCTACCCCCTTAAAACTCAAAATTATATTATTTAATACATTTTATCATATTTGTATTGATAATATTAGTAAATATTAAGGTACCAACCAATATAATCTGATTAATTATGAACATATTTCAAGTTTATTATTTTTTGTTATTATACCCATCCACCCCTTATTTTCAAGGTGTAGCGACCGCTACACTTAGAAATAGGGTTGGGCGCTACTGGCTTTAGCTAAAGCTTTAAAGCTATTAGGAACAGATATTAAATATATGAAATACAAAATTGATTAACTCTGGCAAAGTAGAGCAGAATATTATTATTTTTCAAGAATATAACGGCCTTACTGGAGATGTGTGTGCATAAATACATTTGATTAATACGATGACAATAATTAATGTTTTTGAGCATAAACTTTGTTTAATATATTATTTGGAGATAAAATAATGTGTATAAAAAAAATTTTTGATTTGCAATTTAAATAAAAAAATTATTATGTATTATAAATTCATGATAATTGGCAGGGTCTTAAAGATTTATAAACATTTGCAAACAAATGCCATTTCCTGAAACTTTTTTATTGGGACGTTCCCTACAAAACATAAATGTACCATTTTAATTTAGTTTTGACAAATATAAATATTATATAATAATATATTATTGTATAAATATTCCCATCTTAATTCTACGGTTGGTAACTCTGACTGTCGGAGTAAAATGTAAAATTATAATATTTAATGTTTTTGCTTATATACATAATATATTTGTTTTTTATTATTACTAAAAAGTAATAAATAAAACATGCAGTTTAAAGTTTATTAATTTTTTTGTTTGTTGGTTTTTTTTACTGGGTTTTATAACTGGGCCTAACCCATTAAAACCCACTGGGTTTTAATGGGTTGGGCCCAGTACTTTGGACCCTGATAATTAATATAGTATTATAATAGGCATATAGGCTCTACTATAGTATCCTAATATTGCTTATAAAAGTACTAATACTATTTAAATGTTTTTTTTTCACAATCATACGTGATGTCCATTACTAGAAGCATAGTATTATGACTAAAGAGAGTACAGGATTTCCTTGCAATCCAATTAATTACAGTTAAAAATATTTATGACTTGGTTTAAAGTCACACCTATTTAATTAATTTTTAACAATATAGGTATCAATAATAATAATTAATAACTATTTTCAATATTTCAATATGTTTTATTTAAATTACCTTTTAACTTGTTTTTTAGATCATTAAGCCAACCATGAAAGAACGCTATCGAAAACAAAAATTTTTAAAAAATGTTGGTCTACAACCATTTAAAATTCAGAGGTATTTTTATTTTTTTATTTTTGTTCAAGCTCAAATTAGAAGTTCAACATAGTTATAAATGATTTTTTTTTTAGGCCTATGGAAGAAGAAACTGATACCAATGTGAGTATACAATTTTTTGTTAAGCCTTGAATATGTCTAAGACTGAATTTGTATTTTAGATATGTGAACGAGTATGTTTTTATTACTTTGATGATGAAGCACAAGTGATATGTCGCGGTTGTTATAAAAGCTTTAATTCATGGTTAAATTTTCGATTGCATTTTAATACATTATCATGCCATACAACTCAAACAAATTATAAACTAAATACTTATAACGATGTTTATAAAAAATACAAGTTAAAGAAAGCTAAGACTAAGAAAAAAATGAATAACCGTTTAAGTGCTGCACAACTTATGGATTTGGAAACTTTGAACACTCGCAAAACAAGAAAAAGGTATAATTTCTAATAGTTTTAAATTGGTGAAATATAAAATAATAATTGAAATATTGTCATTATATTTTTTAGGTGTTATCAAAACACTAGGGTGGTTGTGTCTGCTTCTAAATCTTCATCAGACTCTGGTTCAACAAATTCAGAAAAAGCAACTGTAAAGACATTAAAGAAAGAAGCTGTTGAAATTGATATTAGTAGTGATGAGAGTGTAGAGGAGTCAAAAACAAAACCCAATGGTTGCGATACTAATGAAGTTAAAGACATTCCAAGGAGTACAAAAACCATTATTCCAAATTCACCTCATGACAATCAGACAACATTAACCGTTAAAACAGAATGGAATGCCGATGACTTATCTCTGGTTTCTTCAGATGATCATTCATCAAGCTCTGCTCATTGTCCACCAAAATATAGTCCCCCAAAAAATAAGGAATTAAAATATCAGTATGTTTGTGTTATTTGTGACGCACAATTTATGAGTAAATGTTCACTCACGATGCACCAAGTGCAGCATATAAAGTCAGATCGCAGTAGTTACAGTGTTTTTATGGCTGCATTAACTCAATCTGCTAGAGTGTAACACATCAATACATATTATTCGAGTTATGGTTCTAAAGGTAACTCTAGTCCCTATAATGAAGTATCAAGTCCTATTTATTTATGTAACAAACGTCTTTTAACATAAACAGTTTGATTGATATTTTTGGTTGTACAATTTTAAACCAATTTTAAGAAAATACAATTTTATGTTTGCATAATTTAAGTTATTATCATTTGTGCATTACCATTAAATTTCACAACATAATGTTGTGACCATTAACATCTGTCAAACAATGTATTGTATTTACTTTTATTTGATTCCTATATTGTTTTTTTTTTTATTTTAGACTAAAATAATTTTTACCTTATTCCCACAATTAAATTGAGATTTAGAACACTGAAAGATATTGTTTGGTTAAGCTAAAAGAAAAAGATAAAAACTAGCAGCATTATTAAGCATGTCCATTAATCATATCAAATATTATTATTATTGTATGCAAGCCATTTTTATTTTTGAAGAAAAATTGTCGAACCTAACAATATCTTGAGCTGATTTTTCTTTAAGAGTCAGTGATACTTTAATATAGGGCACTTTAAGCTGTAAAGTTTGCTTTTTTTATAAAAAAAAAAAAAAAAACTATTAATGTTTAAGACAAATTTTTTTATTTTCAGTGTACCTCACATAAAAATAAATGAAAATTATTTTATTTTTTTGTCAATATTTCTTTTTTTTTGCTGTATAATGTTATATAATGTAGTATAATGTTATAAGTATTTGTATAATATTAAAATGGCGTATTATGGTAGTAGGCTTAGATTTTAATTTTGAAGCAAATGAAATCACTGGAATGTTAAATCAAACCGGAACTGATGAATTATGAACTATATTTTCAACCAAACCAATTGGAGCCACGGCTAAATGTAATTAAATAATTAATATTCATAAAATGCAATATGTATTGTTAAGTGGGTTGTGAGCACCGATTTACAGTGACGCATTTAGAGAGTTCGTAGAGACGCAGGTTCGAGTCAAATTTTGGGGCCCCTTATTTCAAACTTTTGTCTTACAAAATTGCATAGTATCAGAAGCGCAATTAAGGGCTGGCTTACAATTTCCTGGTAACAAAAAAACCTAGAAAATAATAAAGACACATGGTTTCCCATCTCAGGAGGCTAGACATTTTTATTTTGAAAATGTCTACATAGTGCTTACCAAGTACAATTTTAAAAAGCATAACAATTTCGATCATTTTATTTGTATTAATTTTGTGTAGGTACAAAAATAGATCAAATAATTTATGCCCCACAGACCTCCATTCGAAATGTAAACCATATGTGTTTTAATCTCAGTTGATATTTTAGATTTTGAGCGGATCGATGAATGTACATTGAATCAATGATGTGGGTTATTTAAATTTTAAATTTTTTATATTTAATTTAAAATTTTTTTTGTACCTGTCATCAGTCATCACCATTTAGGACAGTAAAAATGCTTAGATTTTCTTCAACAGTATCTTTTCTGATAAGGAAGTGAATCTAGTTGGTACTTTGGGGTGATTAAAAGTACAAAGTTCCAAATAGTTTTCAAAAATGCCGTGAAAAACAAGACAAATTAAGGAAAAACGGGAATTTTTACATAAAATTGATTTTGGGTTTTGGTGTAACTAAAACAAATGACCGTAAATATGTACACACAATTTTGACTGAATGTTTATATTAGCATTTTCTATAAATCATAACATTTTTTTGAGCTGTTTAAGGACATTTTCAGCTCCTAATTTTTTTAGTTTTTTAATCTATAAATATCAATAAGATTTTATTTGTTGGGTAAAAAAGCTTGAAAATATAATAGACAGCTCCTAAAATATTGTTTCAAAGACAAGAAAAATATTAAAAATCTAGTGACAATTTTTTTTTTATAAGCATTTAAACTTCAAATATCGACAAACTACGTAAAATTCACGAAATTGCTTAAATAATTTGAGTTAGAAACTCATAAAAATTTTTTTTTGTAATTCAAAGATAACTATAGTTGATAAAATTTTCAAAATACTTTGACTCGTTTTGTGCTGTACACGGATAATTTAAATTAAAATTTTTATTTTCTATAAATATCAATAAAGTTTTATTTGTGGGGCCAAGTTATAGTAAAAAATGTATAGGTAGTATGAAATATTATCTTCATAAGTATAATTAACACTATAATAACATAATATTAGATGTTGGACTTAACACGTTGCAGCCTGGAGGTATTGAAAAATTTCAATTTTCATCATGTGTTATAAATAGGAATCAAAGTTCATATTAGTTTAAAATCTAAAATCATTTATGTCTGAAAAGGGCCCCCTAAATATGATAATGGGGCCCTGTTGGGGGTTTGGTGCAACCCCAGCACCCCCACTAATTGCGGCACTGCCGATTTACTGTCTGTATCACATTTACGACGGTGATTTAATAGTATTCAATATTCATAGAAGAATAAAAATAAAATTAGTAGTTTCATGTTCATGGCTGTGCCAGTGGCGAAGCAAACTCGAAGTTCTTTAAGAGGCAAGTCTAATATTTCATCCACCCACACCTACATAAAAGCATTTACTGTCATATTTTTATCTACCTTTTGTAGTTAATACCAATATACTAGTTAATAGGTACTAATTTATTTCTCAGTCGATTGCCCCCTTGGATGGCTGTGCCCGTATGATTATGCATTTATGTATAGGCGTATAGCAATTAAACATTAATATACAAAATATTTTATTTTGAAATTTGACATAATAATTAACACCCAGATATGACAAAAGTCAAATGTAATATTAATTATTCTTATCATGTTTATTTAAGATAATAATATAACAGTTGAGCAATTAGCATTGTATAAACAGTTGTATGAACAGTTTTACTTGAATCAAATTAAATTTTATTTGTAAACTTAATGTAAAAATCGAGATTTAAGGTAAATTCAGAAATTATTTTTAATTATAAGTAAATTTTAACTAAATATTTCATTAATTTTACATTAGTTAATATATTTACAATTATTAAAAATTTATTTCACATTATAATGTATCCACTAACACAACATACTGCCATACTCCTATCTCTATGTGAGTATTTTTTGATCAGGATTCTGAAAACAAATAAGTTGTGAAGATGTTTTGATATCAACATAATCAAATTTTTGCTCCAAATCTTTAAAAAAATGGTGCCCGACAACATTGAACTATTTGGTGGATAAAGTTCTGAATCAGACTTTGTGAAAATCTGTTTTCAGAATTCTTATTGTACCACTAGATGGAATAACACTACAGTAATAATAATAGAGGCTCAATTCTTACAGTTTTGTGAAATATAAAATCAACATATATTGAAATATACATCATTAAAAAATAACATAGTTTAATTTAATCATCTAAAGTCCATAAATCGTCCATATGATTGGATAGTGGTACAGAAAATGAAACCGGTTTTTCATATGTTAAGCTCACTTTTTGAAAGTCCGTCTTGTATTCTTCATCAATCATCTATTACAAAACCAAGTAAGTTAATAAATATATGTTTGTTAAAACTTAAAATACATATTACTATAGGTATTAGACTGATAAATGTATAAGTTTATGATGAAAATGAATTGTAGTGATGAAGATATGAAGTCATGAACACATAATGTAGTTGCTAAATTTGAACACAAAATTCTATGCATATTTAAAGTTAGGTTATTGTTCCTTCTAAATAATTATACTTTTGAGGGCACGAAATATCGATTTTTCTAAATAATATGGTCTTAAAACAATAATACACCTGATGATCCATTTAAGTGTCTACACTCACTATTTCATTAATCAAATGTTTTGAAAATATTTTCTTTAGTATTTTTAATAGTTGTCATTTATTAATTTTTTTCTTTTTTGAAAGACAAAACAGTAAATACATTTTTTATTTCATATTTCGAGGTATTTTATGAGGCATTTTGACTTATTAAGACCAAATAGTTATAACTTTATAAGCATAGATAATATATAATTTTAGATTAGCAGAGTAGAGTAGTGGTACAGGGGCACTCCACAAAATGTTGATCACTACTTCAGTGATTCCTTAAGTATGTTCCACGGAACCAAAAGGATCCTTGGGATAATGTCAAGGGATCTGACAGAATACCAGAAGTAAGTGGATATTGAGAAAATGATTTTATATTATATCTGGAAAAAAAGTTCACATAAATAATAGTCACTAGGTTTTTACTTACACTTTCATAAGAGTCATCCAATAATTCACTCATGTCCCATTCAACTTGTGGCAATTTTTTAAATAAAAAGTTTACGGATTTTCCCACTTTTGGTAGAATGTGTTGTTTTAAAGAGACAAGTTCCCATAATGAGCTGTTCAATGCATTCGATTTTAGTGGATCTTTTTCTTCAAAAATATAAGGGTCTGAACTAACTAAAAGTCAAACATGCAATTTTAATAATATTATTAAATTAAAAAAAATATATTATATTTTTATAAGTGCAAAATTACCAATGGAATCACTTTGAATCAATACTTTTAACGGAGGATGTCTAATTAGTAAATTTCCTATAAATGCTGCCATAATTTGTATGTCAGTAGGTGGGGCAACCAACGAAAGTCTAGCCATACGTTTAACAAATGCAGCTACAAGCAGCTCGGGTAAATGGCTATAATAAATACACAAAAATAAAACTGGAACTAGAAAAATTGATTAACATACAAATATTTTTAATAAATAATAAGTTATTAAGAGGACGCTACCCATGCATTTGTTGTCTCTGTCTTATCTACGTGTACGACATAGCAAATGTTCATTCACTATTTTCAATAGTGTGCTGTTAGTTTTGATTTTAGAATGAATTGACCTATTATCAAACTTGTAGGTAAGAACATTATCTGTGCATAAGTGAAGGCAATTTTTCAATATTATAATTTTAAATTACAAATAGATATGAGTACTTTAAATTTGTAATATTTTACATACCCATATCTTTCTTGAAAATTAAAATATTTAAAAGTCGCCGAAGCCTAAACACAGATAATGTCCTTACCTAAAAGTTTGATAGTAGGTCAATTCACTCTAATATTAAAACTAGTGAACTTGTAACTTACTGTACATCAGAGCGACATCTACTTACCCACTTTTTTAATATTGTTATTAAAGTCACTTATATTATTATTAGTATTACTACGGATGGTTGATTTAATTTTTGATAAAAACATTGCCATTATTATACTGTTATTAATTTTTGAGTCAATACTATCATACCATTGAACAGTATAACTGAGTTCAAGGTATTTACAATAGCTCAAAATTAATCTAAATATTTTGAAATTGTCATGAACAACTGTACAAGTTATAATACACGTAAAAGTTGTAAGTTCTCACCATATGTGCAATTTGAGATTTTTAATAGGGGGGGGGAGGCTAAACATTTTTAAACGTCGTGACAATTAATATTCTCTGACCTTTTTAAAAAAAACTGCACAATCAATATCACACTCATAAAAATTAGGCACTAGGAATGGTAAAATAGGTTTAAAATAATAAATTGGGCCGATGGATGTCGACCTTCGATCAAATTCAGTTAGCAAGGGGTGGTTCGAGAGGCGAGAGAGCGAATAGCCTACCCTAGAAAATGTTATAGATCGACTATAAAAAAAAAACGATGTTTTCAAATATGCAGTGGAAAATTATAAATTATTAATAAATATATAAATAAATTTGTCCCACGGGCAGCTAAATCTTAAATATTCAAACGCTCATAAAAATTAATGTGATCTTCAAGACTACTTTTTTTTGTTAAAGGTAGAAAAACTTATAGGAATATTATAATTCATTGTCTAGTTTTTTCATAGATTCGAGGGAAAAATCATTTATTGACAATAACTAAAAAAAAATCAAACAGATCTCATGCTTATAAATAACACAGAGTCAAAATATTTTGGAAATTGAAAGAACATAAACAATGTTTTATGGAAAATGGTAATACAAAGATTTTTGAAAATTTGAAACACCTACAATTTTTTGTTTTCAAAAAAAAAATTTATTGTCAAAAACTGGTTTTGAGTAAAAATAAACGTAATCACAATTTTTCTCAAATTTTTTTTCCTATCGCTTACGAAAAGAGCATTTTCATTGCTCCTAAAGGTGATGACGGACACAAAAAAAAACATCATTGTAAAATCAATACATTCATCGCTCCCCTCAGAATCTAAGTACTGTGCCTAATTCTTAAGAGGACTTCAAACCTGCATGTTTTCTTTGTCTTACAAACATACCAGATTTGAGTTCAGTTAAACCAAATTTGTGTTGTTAGCTTTAATATGAGGGTGAACAAAATCAACATATTATCAAATTTAAAGGTAAGAACATTATCAGTAATTGAAGGGTGGGCAGGAATAACGTGCTATGTAGCAATTCGTAAATGTTCAGGAACAACTAAAAACGAAAACTGTATTATACATTACCTAGCCGGTTTCGAAGTATATACACGATGATTGTGTACGATAAAAACATTCTGGGAATTTTTTGATTCTTAAAATATATCGAGATTGCTTCATAGCACGTTATTCCGCAAAAACATGAAGATTGAAAAAATGTTACATAGCACGTTATTCCCGCCCAACCTTCAATTGTGTTTGTTTTTCTTCAATGTTTTGATTTTTAAATTACAATATTTTACATACTTTCATTATGACACTATTCAACATGGTATTTATAAATAGTTTGATCAAAATGTTTAAAATTACTTACGTTGAACGAAGAAATATATCAGCCAAATAAAACAATCTAGTTTTATACCGATAATTAAACATATCTGTTGTAAAAAAGTTGTAAAGTTTCCCATAAATATTTGGACATTCTCTATTTAGAAAAAAAAAATTAAATTAAAAAATTAGATTCAAACAAGTAGAATTTTCCTGTTATATTATTTCAAAGTTTAAATTATTTTTATTTCTACATTTTATCATTATAAAAAAAATATAAAAACCAAGCATTATTATTAGATAGGCAGCATTAACTATATTAGAAATTCAGAAAAAAACAATTTAAAAATCAAAATAGCTCACACATCTATTTAACATTTGACTGTAAATGTTTGATAGATAATAAATAAATGACATTTTTTGAAAAATGTATAGTTTGTAAAATACATTTTAAATTGCTTGTAAAGAATTGTAAAATATTTTAATTTTAAGACAACAAATATTTTCAGTAAGGGTAATAAACATTTACTTACAAATTATAATCCTTGACCAAAATAAAAATGCCTTGAAGTCCTAATATTGCAATGGGACCAGCTATATATTTAATAAACAAGTAATAGAAATGTTAATGACTACTAAATAATTATTTTTTAATAAAAGAGTACAGAAATGAAAACATACGAGTATCCAATGAATCCATTAGGAAGTCTGCAGTTACAAGTGGATTATTCAAGTGCATTTGTATTTTTTCAATCAACAGTGTTAACATATCTCTTCTAATTTTAATATTTGACAACATGAAGGGTTTCATATCATCCCAAACTACCGTAACCCATGATTTTAATTGTTCAGAATTATATTTAAATTGAGGTCGTTCTATCAAACAAATTCACAAATTATTAATTTATTTGTCAATTATAAATATTATTATGTATACTTACTGTTATTTTTAAATAGTAATTTGTCGTCTTCATTTTTTTCAGTAGGAATTTTAATAAATCCTAAAAGATTTGTAAACATGTATACATTTGTTTTGTCTGTGTTCAAATGTTGAACAATTAATGAAAAACATTCCCAAGAGTAATAACAAAAATCCAAATTTTCAACATAATTTATTAACATTTGTTGAAATTGTGACCATTGTATATTGGTAGTTGTAAGCATAGATGTGTAAATTGTCTACAAAAAATATTTATAAATAGTATAATTAATAATTAGTTTGTATATTTTACTGAATGTTCTTACCTTTAATTGATCAACAGGAAAATAATATTTTTTTTTCACTATTTCTCCAGTTGGGCATTTATTTTCCCGTAAAAATTTGTCAAATAATTGTTTGAATTCTGAAATTGTCGCCATGATTATAAATCTCTCCCTTGAATAATTATTACTCTGCAATAGGATTTAAGATATTATTCATTAAGGGGCCTGCTCGCGATTTTTCAAATTTTCCGCAATTCTATAAAATTTGAAAATTAAATTTTATATTTTAGTTGCCACCTCAATTATAAGACTTTTCCACTAATCTACTACCCAATACCTATTTAGGGGGGGGGTTGATAGGGTGTATTATATCGGTCAAAACACAGTTTACAGGAAAAACTCTCACACCTCGTAGATTGGTCCGATTTCCGTAATTTTTTTTTTGTTAGATAGAGGAATATTTTTTACAGGGCGCATTGGACTTCGATTTTTGATTACGTCGCTAAAAACAAAAAATAATACAAAAACTAAAAAGTTGTAAAAATTGATTAAATTCAAACTTGTAACATGAGACTTAGAAAAATAATGTTGAAAATCCAAGTCCAATGCGCCCTGTAAGAAGTCTTCCTCTATCTAACAAAAAAAAAATTACGGAAATCGGACCAATTTACGAGGCGTGAGAGTTTTTCCTGTAAGGCATGTTTTTGAGCAAAAAAACAGGTCGCGTGCAGGCCCCTTAATAAAAATATATAATAAATATTATAATATGCATTTTAGTAATTAATAGTCAATACATAGTCTTACTTGTTAGCTTACAAACTTACAGTTCAACAGTTGTTACTATTTATTTTTTAAATGTTAGAAACATCAAACATTCCGAACATTTATTATTTTGAATATTTTGTTATCAATCATCAATGTACATTTCTTCAAAATGATATAACCACAAGCCACTAACCAATAAAAATTATAAATCTCACGTGTCTTGCAAGGTAGAGCTACCAGTTCATCAATAAATGACAATTATTGTATGTATTTATAAAGCATAGATTTATCTACGATAAAGGTTACAATTGTAATTTTTAAATGAAAAAAATTGACGATTTGCATTCAACAACGTAGGGTGGTTTAAATGTTTAATGATTATCCAGAATTTGAAGTGTTTGAACAACAATCATTTGACTTTTCAGTATGTAAGAAGTGTTTTTTTGTTATTCACAACAAGTTATAAAATCTCGAGGTGATCCAAACGATAACTGGTGATAAAAAACTCCAAGTGTTTTACGATAATATTTTCGCTGGTTTGGATACACTACACAATATGCCAATATGATTTTTCAAAAGGATCACTTTCAAAAATTTTACTGAATGTCTGAATTTTACAATTTTAAAACGTTTCAAATATTGTACTGTATTTATTAAATTTAACAAAAATGTATCCTCATGCCCGATTATTGTGTTTGAGTAATTATGCAGGTAAGATAATTCAGTAGTTTTTTTGCTTCTCCAAATATTTTTAATTAAATGTTTCAAACATAATAATATGTGTGACATTTTGATGCAGGGAAATTGACAGACTTTTGGTCGAATAGTAGTAGATGTATACATCAAATGAGTATGAAAAATATTGTGAAAACACCGTTGATTTGCGGTCAACCCACAGATGAATCTCATCCCCATTTAGTGATGAAAGGTGAAGTGAGTATTTAAAGAGAGAAACAATGTAGAGTGGACATAATGATATATAAATTAATTACTCAATACATTTCAGCTTGTCCCCGGAATACAAAAAGAAGAATTTACGATTAGAAGACGCAAGTTAATGGAATCTGTATTGAGTACAAGAAAAGATTTTTACCATGTAATTGTTATACCGTCAGCCATTAGGCAGTACATGTCTGACCATATTCCATATCCGTTTAGACAAAATACGGATTTTTTATATTTTAGTGGATGTCTAGAAACTGACAGTGCTTTGGTTTTGTGCGGTAATTCTGTTGATAACTTTACGTCAACTCTATTTGTCAAGCCTTATGATCTTCAGTCTGAGTTGTGGAATGGACCTAGTACAAGTATGTCACTGCAATATGTTTCACGATTCATGTAACTATTTAGAATAATTTTTCTGTAGGAGCTGAGTGTGCATCGTTAATTTTTGGTGTTGATGATGGCAAAACATTACCCCAGCTTTCAGAATTTATAATGTCTGAACTTAAAGGCCATAAAAATTGTGTTCTATGGTACAACCAAAAGCAAAAAGTCCAAAGTGTTGTTGATAAGACTATTAATAATGCTGCTGCAGAAAATTCAATTTATGTGAGTTCTTCTTAGGTAATTGACAACTGATCATTATCTTTTATTGTTATTTTTTATTATTTAACCCATTAGCGCCGAAATTTTTTTATTTATTTTTTTAAATTTTTTTATTGGTCAAATTCCCAATGAGAAATTAGCTTCTAAAAATAGGTCTACCTATGTTGCCATATGGCAACGCACGGCGCTAATGGGTTAATTATTATTGTTTGTTTGTTCAAATTATTATGGATTCGTAATTATATATTACATAATAATTTTTTTTGCAGCTAGATGATAGTTTGGTCGATCATTGTCACAAATTACGACTATATAAGTCATTAGCCGAACAACGGTTAATGCGACAAAGTTGTAAAATAGCCTCTAAAGCTTTTATTGAAGCAATGATGTCAACAAAACCAGGGTCAACAGAACATGAACTGTATGCTAGGTTAGATTTTGAATGTCGAATGGGTGGAGCTGAATACCTTGCATATCCTCCAGTGGTTGCTGCTGGAAATAATGCTAATACCTTGCATTATACTGACAATAAACAAAAAATCAAGGATGGGGATTTAATTCTTGTAGATGCTGGTGAGATTAAATTAATATTCATGTATGATAGATTTTTATTATTTTATGTATAAATATGTCTATTATGCAGTTATAATTTTAATATTCAAAGCTATTATCTTAAAGTTTTAAAAGTATCAACAATTAATAACCATATTATGATTAATTAGGCTGTGAATATCATGGATATTCAAGTGATATATCTCGGACATGGCCAGCAAATGGATGGTTTTCTGACGCTCAAAAGACATTATATGAAGCTACTTTATGTGTTCAAAAAGAATTGATTGACATGTGTCAAGCTCGTCCATCATTAGACACATTGTATGAAGCCATGTGTTTTAAATTGGGAAAAGCCTTGGCAGCAGCTCATGTATTTAAAAAAAATGTTGATCCTTCAGAGTTAAATATGGTAAGTATTAAAATATTATAGACTTTAGAATGCAATTATAAAATAGGTAATTGAAATTGTTTAGTTAGCTCGTGCATTGTGCCCTCATCATGTTAGTCATTATTTGGGAATGGACGTACACGATAATGGTACCATCAAAAAAAGTATTAAGACTGAACCTGGTTTTATCATTACAGTGGAACCTGGTTAGTTCTATTGTTTTTACATTTTCTTAAAATGTCCATAAAATGTATAAAATATTTAATATTATTTAATATTATTTAATTTAGGTGTTTATGTAAGTAAAAATAATATAAGAGTTCATAAAGAATTCCTTGGATTGGGCATACGAATAGAAGATGATGTGTTGATCACTGAAAACAGTATTGAGGTGTTAAGTGAAGATTGTCCTAAAGAAGTAGTAGATATTGAAAAAATCATGTCAAGGCAACCAAAATGATTTATGTTGAGTTTGATTATTTTTAATTGCTGTTATCGTTATACCTTATTATATTTAAGTCCTTTTACCACTTGTTTAATGAAAATTATGACGAATTTTTAAAGTAAATGTTGGCTGTGTCCTATTGAAAACAATATTATGTATAATGTTTATTGTATTTACATTCTATTGTACTTGTTAATCATAAATAATATTGTGTATTTGTACAACTGTTAAATGTAATTTGAGTGTAAAAATGTTTAACTTGTATTTAAGAACTTTACTGTGAAAAATATAAATATTTTAAACTGTATATTTTTCTTCATGAAGCAAAAATGTAAAATATTATTTACCATCCTCGGAAGAAATAAAATGTAAATTACCAATACATGTTTTCATTTATTCCAAAATTTATTTTATTTGATGTAACTATTAATTTAAAATTATTCATTGATTTTATCCAATTAATTGATATTTAGGTATAAATGCAGTTTAGTTCCCATGCGATTTTCTTCAATTTTTTCCCCTCCAAAATGTCTGTCTTAAAGCACTGAATACTTTAATACGATAATTAAAATCTATTTGCATATTTCCATCTATCATAAAAAACATACAATTTTAAAAAAAATAAAAAAGTTTTTTCGAGGATTTCACGTATCTTTGAAAAATTTACTGTCTTATAGTTTTTTTAGTATAACTTTTTAAGTAAAAAAATGGGAGAATTTTTGAATTAGACTTGTATTCAGTGCTTTAAAATACATTTTGGGAAAAAAAAAATCGAGTGGGAACTAAACTGCATTTGTTCCGACATTTATATAATATAGATATTTCAAGATATTATATGGTTCTTATTCAGTAATATAATAATAAGTAATAACTCTGTAGTATTTAAAGTACATTAATCAAAAGCTGTTTAATTATGTTAGTGCAATGGTTGTAATGTTTCATTTAGGTACCTAATAAGTATAACCAAATATTTTAGGTACTCAACCCAATTTATATATAATGTATATATAGAATAGTAAATGTCAATCAGGGCCAGATTGGCCAGGCGAGTTACCGAGTAAAACTCTGTAGGCCGCTATAATTTTGGGCCGTTGAAGTCATGAGGGGCTGTGCTGACTGAAAATATGTTAAGAGATAAAAGTTGAATAAATGGAGACTATAAAATAATTAAACTATGCACGGAATAAGAACGTACCCAAGTTAGGGCCGCCAGTTTGTAAGTGGGCTGGTGATGTACGCAAGACTCGGTGGGCCGAATTTGTCAAATCTGGCCCTGGTCTTAACTCTTAATGAATGATAACCTGATAGACACAGAGTAGAGTTTTAAATTAAATTTACAAATAGTTAATTTTTGACACAGAATACACAATAAGAATAACATTTTTAAAAAATGCATAAACCTATTTAATGGATTTTACTGTAGGTATATCGAAATGAACAATTAGGTACGTACTACACAAAAACTAATTTGATTTACCTTTAAATTTGGATTGTATATCATTAATTAAAAAATGTCTACATATTACATTTTTACCAAGGGTTAAGTTAGGTAACGTTTGTTTCGTAATAAATATAATATATTACCTATAGAGAATTGAGTGTTGATGACGTATTCTTGACTAATATAATATAAACTATATTTGTAACTCGTAACGGTAACATATAAATAATTAGGTAGGTATCTATATGTATTTATTTACAAAAAAAATTTTAAAAAATATGTAGGTGCCTACAATTAAATTTTTTTATATGATTTTATTGACGAGACTTTTCGGGCATTCGATTTATTATTACTTTCTTACACATTTTAAGATGCCCACCTTTGTAGATAGTCATTATTTGTAATAGGTAGCCAGGTAGGTATCTATATTATTTTTGTTTATGAAAATCTAAATTATAACACTCCTACGGTCTTATAATCAACTAAAATCATATTTTTTAAAACTTTTTAGATAGGTGTGTCTTTCTCATTTATTCAAAAAGTTTATTAATATGAGCTCACTGGTAGTGTGCCATGCCAACTTCAAGCAGCATGGCGCATGCTGTTTATCTTTTAATCTTTTCATGAACCAGTTCATCTGGTTTTTTTCACCCTAATATCTCTGATTCCTTGGCTTTGGAAATTTGACACATTGATTAAGAGGACGTGATACCCGCATGTGTTGTCTCCGTCTTACAAGTGCGTAACATACCAAATTCTACTCTCATAAGAACACATGTAACTCCGTCGATTTAAAAATTAGAGTGAATTGACCTCTTATAAAATCTAAAGGTAAGATTATTATCTAGACAACCTCATGGGCTTTTTATTATGTTTTAATTTTAAAGCGAGCTATGAGTATTTTAAAATTATAAATTGTTTGTACATCTTAAAATACTCATAACTCCCTTAAAAATTAAAATATAATAAAAAGCTCATGAGGTTGTCTAGGTAATAATCTTACCTTAAGATTTTATAGAGGTTAATTTTCTCTAATTATTAAATTGACGGAGCAATACGTGTTTTTCTGAGCGTAAAATGCGCTATATTATGCACTTGTAAGACGAAGACAACATATGCGGGTATCACGTCCTCTTAAGATATAATAGAGTATAGAATAGTGTAGAAAATTGAGGTCATAAAAAATATATTAAGCCGTTTCAATATGAGCATATGGCATATGGGAGAATTTAAAAGTTTCAGTTGTTGTCATTGACTGACTTACTCACCCAACATCAAAATTATAAGACACTTCCCGTATAGGTAGATACGTGAGATTTGCATTTGCCACAGATATTGGTTAGATATCTAGGTATATATAGGTAGTGTAGGTAAAGAAGAAAATCTGGAATTTGCAATTTTCTTATAATTAGTGCTGCTTTAAAGAGGAGAGTTCTAAACATGTGAAAATGTGAAATAAACAATTTATAATGATAATAATAATAATAATAATAATAATAATTTACCATGGCAATAAAAAAAAGCAAATAATAAGTGTAGTCGTGTAGACTTGTAGGAAACTAGGAAAGTAAGAGGAGATTTCAATCGTCGCCATAGATATTTAAAAAAAGGCCATGGTGTATTGGATCTATATAACGATGTGCGATCCAAAACAGACATAAACCCTTCAGTGCCTTGTAAAAGACAAAGAGGACGCCCACGAAGCTGAAGCCAACAAAATCAAATGATATCCAATATCCCCAACAAGAATCTAACCGTTAAAAAAAATACCATGTTAAAGAACACTAAATAAAAAAGTAGACTGCAATGATATATATACTGTAGCCAAGTCTGTTTTATGTATCATTAAAAAAACTCGATACCGAAAAATAAAAGGTCGTATAACTCATATAGGTGCTTACAATGCACAAGAGGCAAATTCAGGAACTGCTGGTCAAGTGTTAAGCAATATAAATAAAAGAGATTTGGTTTGCTCATGGTAGTAGGATAATGAAGTGAAAAGAAAGAAAGAGTAGACTGGGTTTTCAATGTAGATATGACTACCTTAGTAGTCTAACTTTTTTTTGTTAAGCTATCTTTAACCTAGCATTTTTTGAACAGTTAAGTTTTTGATAGTAATCTCACTGATCTACATTATTAATAACTATAAAGTATATTTATTTAAGCTGTAAAGTATCTAATAGTTTTAAGTTTTAACGCAACCAGATTAATTATTCAAGTAGGTAAATCAACTTACAATTATTAGGTCAGGTTTCTAAATAATTAATGTCAAGATAAAACGATTAAAAACCTTAGATATGCCTAACAAAATGTATTTTTATAAAATTACTAATAAGGTACTTTTAGCTATATAATAATTGCATATCCAGGATCTAGCAGTATAAGGCTACCATAAAATATAAATACCTATGAATACCTAATAATTAATTAAAAATAAAAAGCTCGGTTTGGTAGGTACCTACCGCTCTATATTATACAGTCAAGTTATATTGCGATTATACGAGATACGTAGCCTAAACCCATATCGAGTATCTGTTAAAACGATTTGCCACTCAATCCTAATCATCATTTCGTTTTTGTTGATAGCATAAAAAAGTATTTTCTACAAAATGTTTAGTAAACCGTGTAGGTAGGTAGTTTACATGAATTCTTGATGCTCTATAGTGCCACTGATTGGTTATTTATTATGATTTACTTATTTACTATATAACTCCGGAATGATTATAGACATTGTTTATTACGGAGTCTATATTTTATTCTCTTTTCAAAATATGAAAACTGTTTATCATTATATTAGGTAGGTATTGAATACATCTTAGGGTTGTTAATATTTTTATTTATTTATACCTGATGGCCAAGTGGGTATTTGATGTTATAATGTTAGGTATTTTACGTATTGTCTATAAATTAAATATATACGAATATATGAGTTTCATTCGTATTTGTGTAGATACAATACCTACAGGTTTTAAGTTATCTATCCTATCGTATAATTGCAATGATAGCCACTCTTCATAAATATACTGTTGTAAAAAGAGTGTCATCATCATAAGTCATAAACTCATAACCCTAACATACACCTATATTATAATATTTTATAATATATATACAGCTACACAGATGTTCATATTATAATACATATGGCCATATACTATTGTACCCTTTTTCTTTGTAAGATAAACTGTTTCATCGGCTCGGACGGTATCATCCCATTTCGCCGAATCCTATTTCGCCGAATCCTACTTTACCGACAAAAAAAAACAGTTGTATACGGATTAATATAAAATCCCATTTGGCCGAATGCTATTTTTTCGAATCCCATTTTGCCGAAAAATTTAAAATAAAATTAAAATAAAATTGTATTTGTTAGGTCATAAAGACTAAAAAATTAATACAAGGTTCCTAATATATTGTGACAAAAAGTGGTTAAATAAGTTTTTAATATTTCTAACTCTAAAATTCACAAATTTACTTTTTTCTGTCGCTTTTCGCTATAATTAACTATATAATTATTATAATATTATATTAATACCTCAAATGTATGTTTAATTCAGATTTGGAAATGGACAAATAT